TTTATGGATGATTTTTAGGTTTAAATGTCTAGTATTATACATGAATTGTTATTGTTATGAATTGTTGAACAGTAGGTCATTTTGACCAAATTTGACTTAATCCTCATTTCGATYTGCTGGGTCACATCTAAACTGTGATTTCAAACTGTTTTTCAGAACAAGGAGATCGAGGAGTTGACAAAGATCTGCGATGAGCTGATTGCCAAGATGGGGAAGAGTTAGCCCCCCGCCCACTGGACTGTAAACGTCTGAGGCCAAAGAGGTCTTGGGGTTTTGCTTCCTACTGACTGTACAGAACCCACAGGAACCACCTTCCTCTTAACTGTTCTGTACGTTTATTTTTTTATTTTTGACTTGTCAGTGTATCATACTGTATCAGGGGGTCTGGTTTAAAGTTTTAGAGGAGCTATCATATCAGTAACAAGTGTGTCTGTGTGTGAGAGTGTGTGTAATGAGAAAGTGGATGTTTGTGGGTTAAATGATGTATTATGATGTTGCCATGACAGCCACTGAGGGAGAAGACTGTTTACTCACTCCTGTTAGTGTCGCCTCTTACTGCAAGATAGTTTTTGGTGAAAAAAAAAAAAGAGTACCAGATGTTTAGATTTATTCATAACGTACAGAAAATATTGAAAAAAATGAAAGKAAAAGAAAACCGTCACAGCAAGATCTTGCATGGAAGAAAGAGAAACTTAATGTTGATGTTTGTATATAGTTGATTGTCAAAAACCTGAAGATAAATCTGCATTTTGATATAGTTATTCTGTCATCCTCCCCCTAATACCCTCAAGTAACCATTTCGATATTTGTCATACTTGTAGCCTTTTTTTTGATGAAACCGTTGAATTTTATTTTTTTTTGGATTTTATTTTGATATAACCTAATTGTGACTTTATCCAGTTCATGTTTGAACAACTGTGTCCTAGTCCTGCAATGGTCTTTTGTCACTTAAGGAAAATCTTTCCCGCACAGCTACTGTACAGCATCAGCTTACAAAGTGCAATAAAAAATGGCAATACAACTCAAATTTTAGTGTTTTTTTTCCCCCCTCGTTCTCTAACATGACTTTACACTCATTTTGTAGCTGCTCCTTCATGTCAGGTCAGAACTGCAGTGGATCCTTTTTGTTTTAGTGTGTTTTTTAAAAATAAAAATTAGATAATTAATTTTAAGTTTATTACCTGTAGTAGATAGCTCTTTTGAAGCCTCAGTTTGGAAGAATAAAGTTTAATTCTGAATAGATTAATAAATCTATTGCTGGTCCAAACAAGACCAGTTTTAAAGCATTTTATCTCCAACTTAAAGAAACCTCAAGGTTCAAGCTGTAAACTTTTGTAATGCATTAAAGTTATTTCAACACATGCTCCAGGCTGCACTTAAAGTGGCATCAGCTAAATGCTGTAAGAGCATCTACCACAGGTAAGATGTTCATTTTTCATAGCCTTTCTACAGAACCTTGCCTCAAAAGGTTAAAAGAACAGAATTATTATCACCGTGTCTCATAATTTCATACTTTTTTGTTGAGTGACTGCCCCCCCTTTTAGCACCTTTTTCACCTTAACCTTGTCCAACTAAATGTTTTTATTATAGAACTCTAATTAAGTCACAAGTAGAGAAATTTTCACCTAAACTAAATTGAAATATTTTTAAGACTATTTGTGCTTGAATGAAAAATTAAAATAGTTTCTAAAAACACAATAGGGTCTGAACACCTGAAAAACAAACCCCATGTCCAAAAAACTGGAAACGTTTTCAGTTGTCTTTGTGCCAAAACCTCACAAACAAACACAGCAACAACAAAAGGTCATCCAGGCTATAAAATGAGCAGAACCCAGCAGCTCTGATGGGAACGCAGCAGTCCCCAGGGTCTGGGTGACTTGCATTGATGCAGAGGAGCATATTGGACTTTTGGAGGGACGTATGCATCCATCAAGGCAACACATTTTTCCCAGGAGGTGCTTATTTCAGCRTGACAAAGCCAGACCTCATTCTGCATGACTTACAGCAGCGAGGCTTCAAGGACACAGKGCGCCTGGATCTGACTGACCTGCCTGCGATCTGGATCTGAAAACCACCGGCATGTTACGAGGAGAGGAAACACAAGCAGATGAACACGGACTGATAGGAATGAAAGACCTCTAAAATCTCACATTCAGCTGCAAATGATTCAGATTGTTCTTTAAAAACAGCAAAGATTAGCACCACTAAATAATTAACAAGTGTAAAACAGTCGTATCAACACTTTTCTCCCAATTTGATCCCCTCCATTTCTGATCTCAACTTTGCAAATAAAAAATGCAATTAATTTAGCTGCAGCAAACTAACCCATWTTTTGTGCATTTAAATGCTGCATTGCTTTAGTCCCTCAGAATCAGTAGCATCATTTGCTGCAGCAGTTTGTWGGTGTTTTTTATGCTGCAAACTCTCCCTTTTCTCCCTCTGACACCCCAGAGCCTCTCATCTGCCTCTCGTATCATTTCCAGAACCCCTTCCACCGGTCATATAACACCTGTTCTAAAGCATCTTCTCTGGCTCCTTATCAAATTTCACATTTCTTATAAAATCCTGCTCCTAGCCTTTAAAGCCTTCAATAATCTTGCCCCTCAGTATCTCACAGAACTTCACATTAACACACCTTCCTGCACTCTCAGGTCCTCCTCTTCCACCCAACTCACTCAGTTCATCCGACCACTCTGGGRACAAACATTTGCAGGTTGAAACTCCATCGTTACCTGAAACAGAAACAGGTGCAGGAGGGCCTGAAAGGGGTCATAAACAGCTGAAGGTGAGATTGTACAGGATGGTTTCATTTCTCAGGTCAGACTCCAGAGCGAGACTGAACACAGCACCGAGACACACGGTAGTGAAACCACATCAACAAGGTCTCTGCCAGGCAAAAGTTCAAAGCAGACCGATGTTCCAGCTTGCACWGATTTTTCTGTTTTTAAAGAAGTGCAGAGAAACAGGCAAAGTAAAGGACTCAGCTCAGAAGTCTGTTCAGAAGTGAGCTTACATGGAAGCAAGGCCTTGRGTGACTCAGGTTTGCAAAAACTGAYTTTTGTTGAAGGTCGGCAGAACTCCAGGATCCGTTCAGGTTTGGGGCTSAGTGCAGCTGGGATTTCATAAAGAAACTGAAGGATTTGAGCCTGAGCCGATGTTTTTTTAACAACTCTCCTGCAGAGTTTCTTCAGCAGCTGTGGGCAATCAGAGAAACAAGCTTGGATATTAAGTCACATCATGTGTACCTGGATGAAAAGAGGATTTGAGAAGTCCGGTTTATTTATTTATTTTTTTACTCATGCAGTCTTCGTGTCACTCAGCATGGACTCAGGAGCCCCATTGGTGGGTCTGGTAATCTCCTGGTCACTGCAGGAGTGGATACTAGCTTGTTTGATAAACCAGATTAGGTTCAGGGGGTTTAAGAAGCAAACATCCTGCTTTTCATTGTGTGACCGGGAGGAGTGAGGACCAGCAGGACCATGAGGGCCGTTCTGTACCGTCTGCTGCTGTTTGTCACCCTGCTGACAGCCAACAGTAAGAACTCAGTTTCAATTTTACGCTCTGTGCCTTTTCTTTTTCTATAAGTTCTCTTTGTTTTCTTGAACGAGATTAGTGTTTAATCCTGTCTCCACCTGTCATGTTATCCTTCTATTATTTATGTTTTTATCCTTATTTTTTCTGTATGTTTTTTTACTGTAAACCACAGAGCTGAGAGAAAAAAAAGGCTTTTTATATAATCTGATGGACAGGACAGTGCAAAAGTCAGATCCCACTCGTTTGTTGTAAATGATCATCCTTGTGSATTTATTAGTTTTATTTTTGAGATTCTGCTGAGTTTTGCTCCTCATCCTCTGCTGTAATAACCTGCAACCTAAGCAGTTAATCTCTTCTTTAGGCCTGAAGGCTAATGTGTGGAAARGCGTCTGTTCAGAAAGGATAAACTGGGGTCAACAGCAAACAGAGGGAGTCTTTTAAAGCCATGCAGACAAGCATAAAAATAAAATAAAGTTGACAATTTTATTGGTGATTTTGTATTTTTTTTTTTTTTATTATTTATAAATTTGGAGCTCCATGTTCTACCTGATCGCCATATTACTCATCATCAAGTTCGTAAACCTCCATGTTTCTGATCTATATCTGTCCAGAAACAAAGCTGGGTCTGTGTCTGGCAAACACATCTGAGGCTAAAGGAAGCTGCTTTGATGGACGACACAGGAGATGTGCTTCTTGCAAAGCATGTTTGAAGCTTTTAGTGCCTCTGGCTCTGATCCTCTTAGGCAGCAGCATTCAAGGCTGCTCGTCTCGGAAATAAGAGAGGGATAGAGGATTTTTTTTCTTCTTCTTTTTTTAAAGGAAGCGTTTAAATCTATATCACTTCAAAGGTCAGTTTGTTCTCAAATAACTGCTCCTTCCTCAGGATGAGAACGTGTTTGCAGAGCTGGGCTCCTGAGGCATTTGTTGCAGTTATTTTTAAAGCACGTGGACATCAGCGGAAACTTTCTGCTCGATTTGTGTGAGGGAAGGGATTAATTAACGCTGTCTCCTCACTTTAGTCTCACTGTTTCAGCAGAACAGCGTCACACTTTGGAAATTTACACTCGTGCGTCTTAAGGATCCTGTGCAAACAGAGGATGATAGAATTTGAGGCGCTTGTGGAAACGGTTTGTGTTTCTCGCCCAAACATTGACACAAACTCTCGTTTCATTTTTCTAGGCTTTACAGTTTCGGATGCTTGTTGATGATGCATTTTAATAACCAATTTGTCGTCATAAGAGAAACAGCTGGCTCGAGCGTTCCGCAGTAACGCCGAAGCGACTGGCAGATGCTCTCAAAGAAGGGCCGGTATAAATCCGAACACTTGGGGGATTTTCAAACACAAACTGAGCAGCGTTTGCATCGCTGAACTTGTTTGTGTCTGCAGAGGAGCGCRGCTGCCAGAAGCTGTATATAAATGTACAGAAAAGCCTGCATCACATCAAACAAAAGCATCTTGTGAAACAACAAATGCTATTTTTAAACAGAAATATTMCAGCTCTTTTCAAACYTCCATYTTGGATTTATCAGCGTAAAAACATGTTCCTTTAATAGCGTCTTTATTCTGTCTGATCCAGGTGAGGCTCTGAGGTGTTACACCTGCATGGGCTCCAACAACGATGACTGCAACCGTCAAGGCTCCAAAACGTGTCCCAGCTARTCTGATGCCTGCACTGTAGTGGTCGGCCATGACAGTAAGTTTTTACCTGTCAGGAAGATGCAACATTTTATCTCCTCGTGTGAATGTTTCTGTGAGCAGCAGGCAGATTATCGTCTGGAGAAACAACCCCGTCAGCGGGGGGTCTGAGGGGTTTTCAGGGAACGAAAAGCTTTGCTCTGCTACTCAGCAAAGACTCTTAATTAGGACACCATGTGGTCGTGAACACACACATTTACCAAAAAGATAATCAGTGATTAATTTGTACTTCTGTGTAGCGGGAGCTTTATACTTTATAAATTCATTTTGAACTAAATTCTGCACAAGTTGCTTATTAAAAATGAGAAGGTTTAAAAAAGGGTCATGTTTAAATGCTTTGTGCTCAAATTTGTTGATTTTGTTGTTGCCTTAGTTGTTGTAGGTCAGGGCAATTCAACTAAAATGCTCCAGGGGCCACAATTACTGCAGGGTAACAGCTGAGAGGCCGAACATCCAGCAAGTCATTATGTAAATAAACCAAGTATTACTAAGATCTTTTACCTTTGAAACAGTCCATTTTGCTGTATTTGCTGTATTTAATRATGAATACAACATACAGAACCAGGTAACAAAACAATATAAAAAGAAAAATAACACATTATGCCTCCTATTAAACGCAAATATTATTTTGACAGCTCTGACTTGCCAGATTTTTGAACCAATTTTTTTTCCTTTCATAGTTTTATCTTCAACTGTAGTTTTAAATGTCATGGGCGGTCATAGAAATGTTTCTTACCAGCTTCTAGCCAAGATTCTGARGCTGCTATAGATGCATCTGTGTCGGACTAAAAGAACTTATAGTAATAAAGTGAAAAAACAGGAGTTTGGGTTAAAGAGATGAATGAACCAACTGATGGGCCAAAATTTGGTCACTCSCCGGCCYAATGTGGCCTGTGGGCCACCTGTTGAAAAGCCATGTTGCAGATGTTTCTCTGAATGGATTAAATGGTTAACGAGTTATTTGCAACTCCAACTGAGTAGCCGTCGCAGCCCATCATTATCGTCAGACCTAAACTCTAATTCACCAACCAGAGGTAACTTAAAGAGCTATCTGCAACAGGTAAGATATTAATTGTTCATGAATGCTTCACAGGACTTCACTTCAAAAGATCCAATCTAGTTTTTTTTTTTTTTTTAATGGGCTGTGGGTTGTCTCTTATGTAACACACAGCTAGATAAAATTAGTCAACCTTTTTTTATTTCTGCTTGTTTACAGGTGGCGTGATGAAGTCCTGTTCCTACAAGACTTTCTGTAACCAAGCCAGTAGTCATGGCTACCGAGCACCGGGGGTCAAAGTTCACTGCTGCTACAGTGACGACTGCAACGTTCGAGGCGTCGCCTCCCGGCTGCCTGGACTCAGCTGCTGGATGCTTCTGCTGCTCCTGTTGGTGCACTGATCCTCACAGATGCCTGAGAACCGAATCGAGTCAACGAGGAATGCTTCTCCATAAAAATGCCGACCGGTACCACCTGTTTTCACCCCACAGGTCATCCTATCACTTCAAACTACTTTTGCAATTTGCATGCATTTATTTATCAAAAAAAAAAAAAAAAAATAAATTTGCATGCATTTATTTATCAAAAAAAAAAACAAATGTGAATATCAGGGATTTAAAGCGCAAGTCAGAGCTTGAGGTTTCAGTTGTAACATTGTGACTTGTTGCATAACTGATGCATCTTTAAAGGGATCCCCGAGTAGCTGTAACATTAGACTTTATTTGATAAACATATATTTTAACTGTAAAATAAAGACAGAAAAAATTCTGTAGGCTGTTTAGTTTTAATAAATTTTAAACTAAAAATTTAAAAATATATTACATAGCCATTTTATTTACACGCAAAGCATTCTGGGTAAATGATGACATGGATAGGTCATCAGTGTGAGGCTGCTAGCGAGCTATATCCACCCTGAAGGTTAATCTTAGATAATATCTGATGATCGACTCTTTTAAATGAAACCAGAGAGCGTTGACAG